AAGGCAATTCCATTCAACACCAATCCACTTGCTGTGATAGCGCTGAAATTTATAGTTATAGATATTAAAATTGTATTGAACTATGTAGTGAGGGAAGTTACATGATGTGTTCATGTCACTCCCATGTGTGTGAATGTATTTAGAAGTGTGGTGATTACTATAAAGAAATATAATAATAAGTGTGAGTTGCGCCACACTTATTATTATATTATTACACCGACTTATTCATTATTATTGTAATTGACTTTATTTGATGTGTGTTAATGTGTTTGGTTTTGAATTTTTGAAAAGAATGTAGTGCGTCACAATTTGTAGGAGTCGAATTCGAATTTTGGAAGTTAATGACATCAATAAATCAATTACTTTTGGTAATTTCTACAAGTCGCGTTTCAATTTTTGAGAACAACTCGACAACTCAAAAACAAAGAACATCATGAAGAGGAGAGTCCAACACTTCTCACTAAAACACACAAGTCCATTGATCAAGTCCGATTTGATTTTCTTTACCCCTCGAAAAAAGATCAATGCAAACTCCGAAAGTGCAAAAATACCAGAAGAAAGTGCAAAACTACATGTAATTCCTTCATTCAATAAACGACGGACTGTTGGGATCTTTGATGCACCAATTCATCTCTATTTGCTGGTCAACAAAATCATTCAAAATGAAAAGGTGCTGGAAGATGAATTGTACGAACAGTGCGAATGTGCAGACAAAAACATTTTGAGTTCGACAAACACATTGAACCCCAGTGAAATTGAGGAGATTGTCTACCTCTTCATTAAGAACCTCAGCGAGTTGAATCAACCCCTCTTCGAGTCGATCGACGATTTTGACGGCATCGAAATGCCATTCACCAACAACACAATTGTCCTCCTCAAAATTCGTATTTGGCGGATGTCAAGTAACCGAAGAGTGTTGATCAAAGCGGCGTCGAAAATCTATTCGCATCTTCAAAACACGACGGGAACAATATCGTTGCACCTCTTTAAAGTGCTTTTAAACAATGAAGGTGAGTTGGGGATACCGGAGATGATCGGGTTGAATTTGCTTCTCCAATGTCTTGACATGTACGAAAAAGAGATTTTTGAACCGAACGCACATGACCCATTTTTCAAAGACGATAACGTGGAAATGCAAAGTGTTGTTGGAGGAAGGAAGGAGACGTTGGTCCAAATCCTTTTCGACCCATTTTTCGAGAACAAAGCATACTTGAGACAGTTTGTCCATACAATTCCTTACATCATGACAGAGCAATTTTTCTTCGAGAAAGTAGTGGAAGAGTTCAACGCTATTGTCAAAGAGCAAATGATGAATGACGATAAAGTGGCTCAACGCCAACGTCGATTTGAAACGACTGTTTTGACTTGGATCGAGCAAAGTGGGAAACTCGTTGCACAAATTGAGCCAGACGTCATCACCAAATTGAAACAAAGCGAAATATTGACATCCAAAAGACTCAGCGGAAGCTTCAGACTTGCACTTACAGAACAACTGAATTTGTTGCAACTCAGCACAAGAAAAGTGAAAGTCAGCTTGTACACCAACAACAGCTTCACACAAGAACACCCAAGCGACTTGAAGCTTGACAGTGAAATCGAAGAACTCCTCTCTGAGAAGGTAAGTGTATTGGCAGAGCAACTTGTACTCTTCGATTACAAGTCCTTTGTTCAGATCAAAGCATACGAAGCGTATCTCGACTGTGGAAATCACTCAATGCAAAACTACATCACCAAGACTAAAAGAATAGAAAACATGTTCCTTGTACTCCTTCAACAGAACAAAACAAAAATCGGACAAGTGATAAAAATCGCCAAAATGTGCTTTGAGCTTAAAGGCTTCAACATCGCATACATCCTCTTCAGCGTTTTGGTTAAGATCTCAATCGAAAGCCCTACACTGTTTGCTAAGACAGAGAAGTCGAAGCTCTCGAAGTTCAAAGCGCTCGAGGATCACTTCCAAATCTCCAAAAATTTCGCAAATTACAGAAAAATACTCGAAAAGGCTCATTTGCCAAAGGTACCCGTTGTATCCATTTGGATCCACGACATCATCAGCATAAACCAAATGCCGTTGACATTCGAGGGGACTGATGATATTTTCAATTTCCAGCAACTCCAAGTCATTTCCGCAATTGTGAAGGAAATTAACGAGGTCCAAACGGTTGCATTCACAATAGCACCGAACAAAGAAATACAAAACAAGTTGGACGCGCTTGTCAAGTCGGCCAAACTGTAAATTAAGTGGTTTTTTTTATCTGTAATTTCAAAATGAAACGATAATATGCTAAACATTTAATCACAACTTTTCGATAATAATTCGAACTGTAATTTCACACCTCCTCTTCTCTCAAATGGTTGAAAGCAATGTGCGCTGTTTTGTAATGAAACAACGACGGTGCCGCGTACTGTGTATTTTTGTCAAGTTCGTGCTTGTTTACTTTTCCAATGCTGAAACTTGCATAGACAAACAAAACTAATGACGCCAAAAAAGACAAAACGGGGCAAATCCACCCGCCAAAAGACACAAAGACCCCAATAAGTTGCGGAGATAACACCTCTGCCCAGAGTATGTGTGAATTCTTTTGGTTCACCCTGAAATGGAATTTGGAGATAAACGCCTGCACACTTAAGGTAAATGGGATTCCTAAAATTCTCACAGCCACTCTGACAAACGGAGAACTTTTAGAGATATGAGACACAGTTGTGTCGGATTCGATGCACCCATCGAATGAAAAATTGAGCGTTGAAAACGACTTTGGAATTGCACAGACACGAACGTGTTCCACGCGAAACAATGGTAAAAATTTAAGCGGCATTTTTTCATTGAAGTTTTCAATTTCCAACTCCGAGTGTGCCAACCTCCAACACGTAGAGTACACCAAGACGTCGTCGATTGTTCTTTTAGGAGGGCAACACGGAAATTCAGTGTGATTATTTCGTGTGTGGTTGTACCACAAATCGACTTCGTGTGCGTGTTTGAATTTGAAGAAAATCTGGTTTGTGTGGAAGTGTGGTATTCTTCCTCTGTTTTCCACAACTAAGAAGTTCCGTGGGTCCCACCTCACCGATCTGAACGTCTGGTAGAGTTTTATTTTCTCTTCAAATGGAATCACAATAATTTCGTTTGGTGTCAAGACCTCATATGAGAGTGGAGTAAAAACAACCAAATTTTCCTTTTGATACAATTCGAGTATTCCGTCAATCACATTTGTTGAGACAACCATTTGTACCTCTGCACTCATTTTGATTTCACCGAGTCTGTCCCTTAGTTTCTTTTCGTGTACTCCGACTGAGACATTTTCCTTCTTCTTTGTTGTAAAGAGTATATACACCGTCGTACCAAAGATGACCATGCAAACGAGGATGTCCATTACATAACTCATTTCATTTTACACATTATTATTTCCCCCAAATGTACTCCCATTCCACACCACAATCTGGAACAAAAAAAATATTTAACTAATAGTATTTTTACTATATTTTGTTTTAGATTCTAAAGTGATTATTCTATTTTGACAAAATAGAATTATATCATAATATTATTATTAATAAAATGACTTACGACGAGATAATTCATCTAGTCGTATAACCAGTAAATCAAAAACCAAACATTAATATTAACAAAAACTATATCAAATAGTTTATTTTTCTTTGAGAAATTCTCCAATAACTTCATAATACTTCAAAAACGATGGCAAAGACATATGTCTTGCTCCTTCGAACCTTTCAATCTTCGCATCAAATCCTTTATTTACCGAATGATTGAACATCTTTTCTGTCATTCTATTATCTACAATCTCGTCATTCATTGACTCGAGAAATAGTATTTTAATAGATTTGTTAATAGTTTCAAATTTTGAGAGGTTGTCCCAACGATCTTTTGTGTCGACTTTGCGGAACTCTTTCAAACTTGAAAAGCCATTCTCAAGTATCAACTTAGACACCCCACGTCTTTGAGCAGCACTGAGAGCAACCCCAACGCCCAAAGACCGTCCTAATAATGTGATATTATTAAGCGGAATTGTTGCGGATAGGGCATCTAATACAGACACCGCGTCGTCAGTTAAGCCGTCTTCCGTTGGTTTACCGGTGGATACACCGAACCCACGATATGATAACACACCAACGTGGACGTTAAGCCGATTATAAAATTGCTTTAATAATTGAAGGCGGTCAATGAAAGCGCCAGCGTTACTTTGAAAAAGGAGAAGTAAGTGTGTGGCATTGGGATGAAGAATGTAATAAAGGTGAACCGTCTCTTTGTCGTGTGTTATCACTTTCAAATCGGTGAGTGTGGAGGGAAGGTTGTATTTGCGAGTCAGTTCGGACATTGTGGGAAGACTCGACAATTTATCGGGGAAATATAACTGACTTATGACAGAATGAATTAACAGGAGGAAGTAAAGTAGAACCATGTTTTTAAGATTTGTTTGCATTGATAATTAATAAAAGTATTATAATTATAATTAATTGTTATGATTTATAATAAAAATTATAATAAAAATTATAATAAAAATTATAATAAAAATTATAATAAAATTATAATAAAAATTATAATAAAAATTTATAATAAAATTTTTTTTATAAAAGTTAAAAATTTAAAATATTTAAAGACATCAAACGTAAATGATTTTGGGTTTTATAAATTGGTAAATCTCAGTATCACCAACATTCACATACCCGTACACTGTTTTGAGTTGGTTCAAAATTTGTTTAAATCCGATTGTATTGTTCTGATTGTTTGTGGTGTGTTTGCATTTAACTGTCATTGTTCCATCTCTAACGTTTCTTCTTTTTACATTAACAATCTTCATTTCATTTTCTGATTTACAAAACTGTTTTATTTGATCATTTTTTGTTTTGTGTAATAATGTTAAATAAAACATTTTAATTTTTTAATTAAATTTAAAACAAGAATTAAAAACAATAAAAAACACATTCGAATTATCTTTTTGAAGAAATCCCGAAATAGATATTTAATGCAACTGAAATATGGAATTAGTCAATAGAGTAAACGAAGATTAGACGTTTATTACAAATTTCCATGTTATTGCCAACTTTGGTTTTATTTTTTATTCCAAAACGGCGAAAAAAAACTCATTGCTAAAAAAATGAAATAAAAAAATAAATTAAAATGAATAAAATTGAATTAAACAAATCCCAATTGATTCTAAAAACAAAACGCATGAAAACTATCGTTTTTTTAACAAAAACTCGGTGAAAAAATAATAATAATCACAATAATTATTAATAGCAAAGTCAAAGCCAAAAAATACAAACTCAACATTAAAGCAACACAAATCAATAATAATTGTATTTTTGATATAATAAATAAATTCTACGCGATAGGAGACCGATTTCGTTTTTGGTCGTCAGACGAGTCTGAGATGAAACTTTTGACTTCCAAATTAGTTCCGTCGAAGTCGAGTAAAATACTTGGAACTGGTTTAAAAGCACTTAAATTGTTATATACTCCCTTGCAGATATACTTTTCAAATAACTTTTCAATTTGTTGATCATAAGGGTTAACGGTGACTATTCGATCTATTAACGAACTTTTACGATTCGACCCCGCCATCCTATCGATAATAGTTCGATTGACGGAGAGTCCGAAATCGCGTATAGTTTCTTTATCTAAAACAAATAACATATTATGGAGTTGAGCTGTTATAGATCGCACTTTCTTCATTACTATAGTAAATTCAGTCTTCCGGGTCTTCTTCATTTGACACGCAATTGAATTCTCCGCAGCTACTTCTAATAAGACGGAAAACGATAAAGCATCCATCGAGCGTTTGATTAATCGGGAGGCCCACTTCTTCTCTTGACCACAGCATTTGACTGCTTTGTCCATCTCTAAAGTCACATAATTGATCACATCAATTTTCTTGTTAAAGTACTCGACACTTTTTACAGTAAGTAATGGTGACGTTTTTGTGGACTTTTTATAGACCTTTTCAATCTCATATTGTACACCAAAGAGTGATAAAAGCCCAAGTAATGCTCCTTGTTGACATGCTTCAAAAGTCTTACTCGAACGTTTCAAGTAGTCCCAGTCTTTTTTGTCCCCTGTCACATCAATGCTCTTGGCAACGTCTTGTTTACTCATTTTGGTTATTTGAGTTTTTCATTGCAAATGTCTTCCATGCATTCCATTCGCTCTTCCCTCGTTTCATCTCCTTATTTCGTGTTTGACCGGTTTTGGTATTATTTATGGCAAGTTTGTCACTCCTTCATTCGTCACTCACTTTCATATAAAATCCCCATTTGCAATGGAAATATTATGTTAAATTTAAATTGACATTTCAGAAACGGCAATACGTTACGTGTGGTTCAATTGAAAGTTAACTTTTTTTCAATGGCTCTTACAAACCCAGTTTGCCGGGAAATACTATGTGTTAAACCTTTGTTTACTTATTCGTTCAAAACTTCGAAAACTCGACAACCATTTCGAGCAAAAAGAATAATTCCCTTTTTAGAAAAAAACACTTTATAATCATTCGAATACTTTATATTTTCAATATCTTTAAAATTTTGTTGGCATATCTTATACCGTTTGACTAAGATATAGTAATCAATATTCAACACAACAATCAAATTTTTATGACACACACTTTTAATCTGTTTTTTGATAATCTATATAGTAGTTATTGCAAAAAATAAATATTGGTTTTAACGAAGAAAATTTGGTCAGTTTCAAATTATTATTTTTGACAAAACACCCCAAAGTTTTGTTTTGTAAAAAATTCTATGACATATAACTAAACAACCAATTATTTTTACTATTTTATCTGTGGTTGACAAAGTTTACTATAAATAATAGTTTTTTTCTTATAATAATTCTTATTACTTCGAAACCAACTCGATGGGTGTTAAATCCAGAACAGCAAATCTGTCCATTCTTTTCATAATGGATTTGTGACAACACCTTTGCTACACCAAAATTGTTCAAGTGCCTCAAAATAATTGTAAAATGGCTTTCTTTGAAGTATTTCTATGTGTTTATTCAATTTCCTTTAATATCAGTAATTTATTGCCTGTTATAGATTCATAACTGTTAGACATAATGACAGACCATTTCCACTGTAATATTTCATATTCGGCATTGCACATCCACTGATACACAAACTATATTTTTGCCATATTTCCATTCTGCCGAACTTGAAATATTCGACTGTTGTTAGTTAATAGTTATGAATACTAAATAAATATGGTTTTTAAAAATAAGATGTTTTAGAATAGCAAAATAGGCAAAAAAAGACCAAATTCATTAACGAAACACACAATTAAAAACATAAACATTTTTTCTATATTTTCTCGAAGAAAATTCGCCTGTCCCAAAGTTTTCTGGTAAAATCAACGAAATTGGTCGCTGAGTTTTTGGTTATGTAAGAGGAACCGATTTGTCAAGTACTCATTCTGACACCTTCGAAAATCATGTTATTGGTAACCACGTCCGACCCAAACACTCACTTTGACACACACTTTCCTAACGAATAGTTCAGTCAACATCGTTTTATTCTGACCAAATTATTATTACTTTTTGTTTTTTAATTAATTTTATTAAATAATTTGGCTGAAAAAATGGGTTGTTTAAGTATTGCACCACAACGAAACTTTTGCTGAAAACAATTTGAAAAACTCATCGTTTTTCAAAACATACATTTTGTGGACTTGATTTTTTACAAAAAATAAAAAACTGCATTTTTCGTACAGTTTTAATTCACCATCTAAAATATGATATTTAATTTGAACTAATAATATATCATCTATTCATTTTATTTTATAATAAATACAGTTTTGTTTTTATTGTATTCATTTTATTACTCATTATCTATTTTTTAATTATTAAACTTTAATGTATAATTAATTAATAAAATTACTACATTTTTATTAATAAACATTTAATTTAATGAATTATAATTACTAGTATGTGGATTATATATTTTAAGATTCTATTTTATCGACTTCACATTCGACATTTATTCCCATATTATTTTAGTTGAGCGAAAATGCATATAGATAATAAAGAAAGAGCCACTTCAGAATAAATTAAACCAAGAAAAGTACCCAATGTATAACGAAGAAAAGAAAATAAAACCACACACAATTGAAAAAACAACACTTGAGAGATTCCACATATCAACAATCATTTTCGCCTTTTCATTTCCCATATCTAATGCTATATTCAGATTATTAAACATCTTTTCAATTTGTGGTGTTTTATACAAAAGAACGCTCATCTTCTTTTGGATGATGTCAAAGACGCTAAAAAATCCTTTAAAATTTGAGTTTATTTCTGTCATCTTTCCATACAATTCTATTAATATTGGATTCATTTCTTTAATTTTATCTGCAAGTTCACGGACTTCACTCACAAGAGAATCAGGTACAAATCTCTTGAAAATGGAATCGTTCAATTTTTCTAAAAAGACCGAAAAACCATCTAAAAATGCTTCAAATTGCACTACAAGTTCCTTATCAGTAATTTCGTTGTTTTGCACACTCAAAAGAGTTGTATTCACAATTTCCCCTATTATTTGACCAAGCACATTCGACCTTCTCATACTTTTCGCAATTTGGTCAACTTGTTCCAAAACTTCATGGATAGGAATTTGGAGTGTTTGAATAGTACCAACTACTCTTGTTGTCTCCGTTATGTCTGGAAGGGGTACTTTGACTATAAATAGACTTATAAACAACGCTCCACTCATCAAAACAAAAAACAATGAAACACTTAAAACCAAAACCTTCTTAAACTCGCACGTTAAAACACTTTTAGTGTTGTCTTCACCAAATCGATGGTACGACGAACCTCCCATCAATACGTTTCCTTTTCAAGTTTTATAGTTTGTTTCTAATTTATTTTACCATTGATATAGTTTTGGATGGTTTTCAACAACACAGATGACCAATAACATTTTGTAAAACATTTTCAAAGATTTTAATAATAAAGACGTTAAAGTTTCAAATTTCAATGAACACAACAAAAAACTTAAAACTCGAGAATGGACTTTACAGAAGAACAAACAAATGACTTCTTAAGTTTTTATATTCACTGTTTAATGCAAAAACCGGAAGATTCAGTGATGGGTACAATACCTGATCGTATTCAAGAGCCAATTCCTATTGATTTTGACGCAATCATTCAATCGAATATATCAACGCTAAAGAGATGGACCCCGTTTGAGTCGTTTGAGAGGATATACGACTCAAAGAGTGATAAGTCGATGAAATCATTTGTTAGTGCGGTGATGAACAAGGAAGATGTCTATGTGATAGTTCACGACACGCGCGGAAATGTCTTCGGTGGCTACACAAAGAAGCCGATCGTGAACTTTGCAGATCAAACGGGCAATACAGACAACTTCGATGATAACCATTACATCTTTGTTCTCCTTAGAAATGGAAAGGACACTCAACCAAAAATGTTTACACCAAGTCGGCGGCGCGCTGGCTTCTATGTATACACGCAAGGTATTTATTGGTTTGATATGGGAAACCATGACGGAAGACTTTCCATAGCTACGCCTGGGTATAACGGTTCGTATAATAGAAATTTAAATCTGGGGTATACCATTGACGATGAAACTGCTATCAATGGGGATACCACCTTGTTTCAGATCTATACTGTCGCTCGAATAATCGTCCTAAAGATCACCAGCTAATTTTTCCTATAATAGAACTATAATAGAACTATAATAGAACTATAATAGAACTATAATACTCTAATACTCTAATATACTAATACTAGTATCAAGTATAGTTATTTTACTATTTAATTTTACTAGAATAAAGTGAGGTTGCATAGATAGTAAATAAACTATAAAATAGATTCATCTTAATAACACGAATAAAGTCCTCAAAGAACTTGAAAATCAGAGATGGAGTTAATCCGGAAGACACTGAACAGCACCGCCATCCGAGGGAGTTACCTCCTTGTCTGTGTAGCGATAGCGGTACTTATACGAATATATTCTGTGCTTCGATATGAGTCGGTAATCCACGAGTTTGACCCGTACTTCAATTACCGAGCAACGAAGTTCCTTTTGGCGAATGGACTTGACTCCTTCAACAATTGGTTTGACGAGACGGCATGGTACCCCCTTGGTCGTATAGTTGGTACAACAGTCTATCCGGGCTTAATGTATACTTCAGTCTTCTTCTATCGAGTCTTGGAGTTTCTTCACTTGACGGTTGACATCAAAGACATCTGCGTCTTCTTAGGTCCAGTCTTTGCGGCGTTTACTGTTATAGTTGGATATAAAATGACTTTAGAAGTCTCGACCCAGGGCGCAGCGTATATAGCGGCGTTCATGATTGCTATAGTTCCGGGGTATATCAGCCGATCTGTAGCTGGGAGTTATGACAATGAATGCATCTCGATCTTTGCACTCCTCTTCACGTTCTATATGTGGATCAAAGCAGTCAAAACGGGGAGTCCACTCAGAGGAATTATGACGGCTGTTGCGTATTACTACGTTGCACTGTCGTGGGGAGCATATGTCTTTGTGATCAATATCATCCCCCTCCACGTCTTCATCTTGTTGATCACCGGGAAGTACTCGAATCGAGTGTACCGAGCATACACATCGTTCTATATTGTCGGCATCTTATTGTCGATGCAAGTGCCGTTCATCGGATATCAACCGATCAGATCATCGGAACATATGGCAGCCCTCTTTGTGATGATTCTGCTCCAAGTCTATGTGGTGTTCAGTTGGATCAAAGAGAAAGTGAGCGACGCACAGTTCAAGAAGTTCTACCAGAAGTGCATTGGTGGGGTGATTATCGGATGCTTTGTGGGTGTTGTTGTGTTAACGATTACCGGTAAAATCAGTCCGTGGACTGGACGATTCTACGCGTTGCTGGACCCCACGTATGCGAAGGAACACATCCCGATTATAGCGAGTGTGAGTGAACATCAGCCCAGTAGTTGGGGGACGTTCTACTTTGATTTGCATATCATCTGCTTCTTGATCCCACTTGGGATCTATTTCTTATTAAAGGATCTGAAAGACGAGACGGTCTTTATGATACTCTTAGTGATGGTGACGGTGTATTTCTCTGGTGTTATGACACGACTTATTTTGATTCTGTCGACTGCTGCGTGTATAGTAAGTAGTGTTGGACTGAGTAAAATGTATGAAGCAGTGAATGGAATGATCTATACCGGACAACCGGAGAAGAAGACGAAGAAGAATAAGAACGAAGGAGGGAACACTACCTTATTCAAAAGGATTGGCATCTATATTGCAGTGGTGCTGTCGATTTGTTTACTTGGATACGCGTCCCATTGTCTTATTGCGGGGAGAGAAAGTTACTCGTCGCCATCTATTGTCATGAAGGTGCCAACGTATGACGGGGGATTTATAGTGTTTGATGACTTCAGAGATTCATATCGCTGGCTGAATCAAAACACGCCGGTTGATGCCAAGGTCATGTCGTGGTGGGATTATGGATATCAGTTGGCAGCAATAGCGAATCGCACGACTATTGTCGACAATAACACGTGGAACAATTCGCATATAGCGAGAGTGGGTGGAGCGTTTGCGAAAAACGAGAAAGAGAGTTATAAGATACTGAAAGAATTGGACGTGGACTATGTGTTAGTGATTTTTGGAGGAGTAGTTGGGTATGGAGGAGATGATATCAACAAATTTCCGTGGATGATACGAATAGGAGGGACCGTTGATAAGAGTATAGAAGAGAAAGACTATTTAGGAGAGAGTCATGATTTTGATATTGGAGTGAATGCGACAGAGACGATGAAGAACAGTTTGATGTACAAATTGTGTTACTACCGATTTGGAGAACTGTACACGGAACAGAACCAACCCTCTGGATATGATAGAGTCCGCCGTAAAGAAATAGCAGTCAAAGACATCAAGTTGGAACATCTTGAAGAGGTCTATACATCGGTCCATTGGATGGTAAGAATATATAAAGTCAAGAAGGAGAATAACAGGATCTATGATGTCGACAAACTTCAACACAATTAACTCATCGTATTGTGGTTTACTAGTTATATAGTTAAAGAACTATATTAATTATAGTACTCTTATCTAGTATTTTATAATTCAACAACTAGTATATTTTTCATATTTGAATAGAATGGAAAGAAACTATTAAAATAACTTGAAACGTTACCTATTTAAGACTCAAAGAACTTAAAAAGAAAAGAATGGCAACAAGTGGACGTACCGTAACACTGCAAAGTAGCGATTTGATGCAATTTGTAGTAGACCGAGAGATTGCGAAGAACTCTGGAGTAGTCAAGAACCTTTTGGAGGATTTCAGTGAAGATAACCCAACGATCCCATTCATGAACGTCCGAGGGAAAATACTCGAGAAGGTCATTGAGTTCATGACATACCATCACAATCACTCATTTTTACTTGGAGATGACAAGGAGAAGGATTCGACTGCTATTGAGCCATGGGACAAAAACTTCTGTAACGTCGACCAAGCGACTCTCTTTGAATTGCTCCAAGCAGCTAACTTCATGGACGTCAAAGGGTTGTTGGACGTCACTTGCAAGACTGTTGCGAATATGATCAGAGGGAAAACACCGGAAGAGATCCGAAAAACATTTGGTATTGTCAACGACTTCACTCCAGAAGAGGAGGAACAAATCAGAAAGGAAAACTTGTGGTGCGAGGAGCTTAAGTAAACTATTTTTTGATGTGTTTCTTCAAGGTCTTTGCAGCACTGGAAAATAGAGTTTCTTGTCTAATTAATGAATAGTAAAAATTAATTAAAAAGGTACAATTATAAGTGTTGACCACCAAGTGTAGACTTCCTCATCGTCGTTCCTGTGCGAACGGGAACGACGGGATTACTCTCAACGACTTTGGACTCGAATAGGCGAAGCTTCTCTTTGACGGAAAGTTCTTCTTCTTTGGAAATGACATGAGGAGAAGACGCGGAAAGTCGTGGCTGGAGAGTTGGAGGAATTTTTCGAAGTGATTTAAAGGTCTGTTGAGGTTCTGAGTCGATGTGTGGAGCTAGTTTTGTTGGTCTAAGAAGAACACTTTCTGATTTCTGTTTCTGAATATTTGGGATGACGTTGAGAGTATGTGGACTTGGTGTTGAACAATTTGATGTTGATGAGAGTGTGGGTTCTGAAAGAGAATCGTCGCTGTCTTTTGAGGGGGAAAAAGAAGGAAGAGGAGGAACTGTATTATCCTCAGGCACATATTCGATTTGAGAACTTAAAAGAGGTGGTGATTTGACTTGAGTGTCTTCTTGAGTGATATTTGGTTCAATCACTTCATTTACAGAATCTTCTTGTATTTGAGGGTCTTCAAGTTGTAATTCTTCAGT